AGTAAAGGAAAAGGGAAAATATGAATTATTTCCCTACATGCTTAGCTATATGAAGATCATATTTGGATATGTTTTGGAGGATAGATGTTATGGATGCAAGAGCATGAATTTTGGAATTTTTGAGTTGTATTTTGTAATGTAGACTCTTGTATTATGGACCTTTGTGGGCTTGAACATGTATTCTATGAATGAAAATATGTGTTATATGCAATGTGAGTTTTGGGGGTGTTACACTTGTAAGTGGAAACAAGTAAAAAAACAGCTTACATAAACCTATTAATGTAAGTTAGGTTCCTAGATCATTAGTACAGCAGAACATCCATAAAACAAAAAGGTGTTCTGCAGTGAGAGAGAGACGAACTTACGCTGCAAGGAACGATGACGTCCACAATGAATATTTAAGCTCCAAGTTGAACTTGAGCCTCACATATATCCTTGTTGGATTCTAATCCCGGGAATTGTCCAATATCATGTCCCTGCAGCGGTTGGAAATCGTTGTGTAACCCAACAGCAAACTCATCTGGTCGTGACCCACCACTTTTTAAATAATCTGCAGTCTGTATATGGAGACCCGTTATTTTCAATCTCCATATAATAGTGAATAATTTTACATTTAAAAGAAATATATAGCAGGATAACTGATAAATGAGCAGTTTGAGTTTGAAGCTCAAAATCATAAGTAGATCGAGGATGATAAATGAAGAAGCTTACATGATCTGCTAGGGATATTCCACTTAGGGCTGCAGCCTCTAAACTTGAACCAAGTAGCCAATCGCCACAAATGCCAGCTCTTCCAAGAGGATCAAAGATGCAGGGAATACCAGGAGTATTTGTAGGAAGAGCTGCACCCCTGCATACCAAGGAAAGATGAACCTTAACTTGCTAATACCAAAAAGGAGTCGAATAAGTTAGAGAAATAGGCAGCCCACCAGGGTATAAATATAAATTAAATGGTTGCAACTCCAAATCTTTCAAGGGTTCTCAATCATGAAGTAAAATGTATACCTATTCCAACTTAATATTATGTCCCACCATTAATACCATAATCATCATCATGAAATTGCACATATTATCTCATTCCCATATAAATTAAAAACCATAAATTGCTGACTACACCTGAAGATCATACCATAATTGTACCCGGGTATATATTGGTCTCTTAAGTGAGCCGGTCAGTAATCCTAGGGCGTTCTCAACACCTGCAAGCATCAATTCTTTCACCTTCTCTGCTGTGGCAGTTGGAATATTCTCCTGATAATACATCACAGAACAAGGAGCAAGTCTTCCATAAGAATAGCATGAAAAGAAAGGGTAAAAAGATAGAACAAAAATAGAAAAGAAAAAGAAAGATGGTCCAGAGCATAATAGACCAGGTAAGACTTCTTGCAGGTTGAAAAAGCCACTCATAAGCCTTAGGCAACCAATTAGTTTTAGTTGTATGTGGCCAGATCTGTTTAGATTCTTTTAGGCAACCAAAAGTTTATTTCGACACGGGCTTCTCATCCTTCTGTCTATTGGTGCTTGGAATAAATGGGTACACCCAGCGTTACGTCTAGCTCCATCTAGACGAATACAATTTTTTGGTGGAATCAGATCATACTAGGTCAATTATGGTTGTTTACAATCGGTTTTGGTTTATCTAAGGCCTTTCAAGGTTTATTTGAAGTCAGGTTAGTTCCATATAGATCTTTTGTTTCCATTTTGTTTAGCTTGGATCTATTTAAATTAGTTTAGATCTATTTTGCTTATCTAGGTGATTGACGACTATTTAGATTGATTTTATTCCATTACATTCATTTTTTTCCATTTTTATTTTCTTTAATCAAATTAGTTTTGTATATTGTTGTAGTTATTTCTTGGGTAACTATGAAACTATACACAGGAAGAGGGAGAAAATTGATGCAAATTGATTGTTGTCGGTAGCTTTCTTATTAAATTGAGTAAAGAAAAGGAATTACAGAGGATTACACGGCTTTCGAGAGGCCTTCGAGAGGCCGGTTCTCTCCCTAGAGAGCTTGCACCCTTTTTCAATGGGAAAATTGCACTAAAATGGAACCAACTTTTACCTAATTCTTATTTTAGGGAACCAACTTTCAAAATCGTCATTTTGGGGAACCAACTTGCACCTGATTCTTATTTTGGTGAACCAACTTTAAAAATCGTCATTTTGGGGAATCAACTTGCACCTGATTCCTATTTTGGGAAACCAACTTGCAAAATAATTATAGAAAAATAACTAAAATTCATTTTTTTCCAAAAATTAATGCAATAAAATCTATTTTTCGTTTCAAATCTCGTGTTTTTAATTTCAGATATCAAATTGAACATTTAAAAAAAATTCAAATTACCACAATAAAAATTGTTGTTTACTAATACAAAAAAAATCAATTTAATAGAAAAATATTAATTGATGCAATAAAGAATAAATGTTAAATATCACATTCAAGATTTTTATATCTAACCAATCCGTATCAATTAATTTTTTTCTATTAAATTGATTTTTTTTGCATTAGTAAAAAAACAATTTTTATTGTGGTAATTTGGATTTTTTTTTTTAAATGTTCAATTTGATATTTGAATTAAAAAAACGAGATTTAAAATGAAACATAGATTTTATTGCATTAATTTTTGGAAAAAATGAATTTTAGTTATTTTTCTATAATTATTTTGCAAGTTGGTTCCCAAATTAAGAATAAGTTGCACCTTGGTTCCTCAAAATGACGATTTTGAAAGTTGGTTCCCCAAAATAAGAATCAGGTGCAAACTTGTTCCCCAAAATAACGATATTGAAAGTTGGTTCCCCAAAATAGGAATTAGATGAAAGTTGGTTCCATTTTGGTGCAATATCAGGTTTATCAGGTTTATGTATGAGAGATATATAAGTTTTGAACCAATCGCTGGTATCACCCTTCCAACATTTTTGATTTGTCTCCAAGTTTAATTGGGATTTTGTTGGGTTTGCAACCAAGCATTCCAGTTTACTTTAGGAGATCTAGAGTGTACTTTCTTTGATATACATAAATTCCTTGTTTGCTTCTAGTGAATTCCATACCCAAAAAATATCTAAGCGCACCAAGGTTCTTGACTTCAAAATCCTTCGGTATCATTCTTCGATCAAATACATCTCCTTGGTATAATTTCCGGTGACAATGATGTCATCGACATACACAATCAAGATTGCAATTTTGACCTTTCCCGGGTATTTAATGAATAGAGTAAGGTTAATTTGGCCTTGTGTATGTCCAAGCTCTTGACTACCTTCAAAAAAACGATTCTAGCATGCTCGAGGAGATTGTTGTAGGCCATACAGGGACTTGTTGAGTTTGCAAACAATTGTTGCACAAGGTCTATCTTCAAACCACGAGGTGAGTTCATATAGACTTCCTCTACAAGTTCACCATTCAAAAAGACTTTTTTTACATCTAGCTAATGCAATTCCCAATCCAGGTTTGCTGCTAGAGAGAGTAAGACTATGATATTGTAGAGTTTGGCAACTAGGGCAAAGGTCTCAATATAGTCAATCGCACAAACCCAAACCCTATTGCAACTAGCCAAGCTTTGTACCTCTCGATAGAATCATTGACATTGTACTTGACAGTGAACACCCATTTGCATCCTACCACCCTTTTTATCAGACGGTAATTCCACTAACTTCCAAGTCTTATTTTGTTTGAGTTCTCTCATTTCTTCAAGAACTACTGCTCCCCATTCAGGAATACTAAAGGCTTCTTTCAATATTCCTAAGAATCACAACATCTGATAAACTACAGGTGAAAGCTTAGAAGAAGATGACAAATTTGATTAAGAGATGAAATTGGAGATAGGATGTTGAGTGCAAGACGGTTCTAGCTTACGTTTGAGTTTCCTCTGACTACAAGGTAATTTCTCAGCTGGAGGAGAAGTGTCTATCCTTTCCTTAAGTTAAGAGTGAAGGACGGATATCGGCTTTCTTCCTTAGTGCTATAGGAATATTTAGATCAAAATCAACATTTGAGTGACGGACATAGATGGTGGTTCTATCTCTAGGTTGGTTTCTTGACCGTGATAAGGATTCATGACTTGATTATTTCTGTCTTCTAGAATAAACATGTAACTCGGGTTGTAGATCTTGGTTTTGGAAGATGCAATGTTTCAAAAGGTGTTTGAAAAGTTGGCTGAGTAGAAGTTGTAGGAGAGGGTTGATTTAGGGGTAGTTCTAACCCTCACAACTACTAAACTTCTTGCTCTTGATGACTCCTTTCCCCCTGAAGCGAGGTGGAAAACTGGGGTGTCAAGTCTATAACATAAATTTGCTAGTAATTGAAACTGATTTGAGACCAAACTAGAAATCAAAGTAGATATGCTAGGTTGTTGTTTTCTTGGTTGTTGAACTTCAAAGAAATAGAGTCCATTATGAATCCTAACACTCTGGAATCCTAGTATCGGGATTGTATGAATTAAATAGATGATATAAACATATCATGATCGAGGGCACCTGAACCAATTATCCAAGGTGTTTGAGAATATTTTACAGTAGAGGATAACTTACCGGAGTGTGGAACTGAGCATGAGGTACTGTGAAACTCAAAAGTAGTTGTAGAATTCATAGATGATGCATTTAAAAGTGTATACATTGCTCAATTTGTTTCTTACTGAATGAGGGTGAGGTTTTATGTACGAGTGTGGCTACTTGCTTGAGTTTGGTAGGCCTTTCTTTCATTGGGGCGTCACCAAAAGCCCAGTTGGCTGTTTTTCCATTAAGTTCCCAGCAAATTCGAGATCGGCCATGTCATTCACAGTGATCACACCAAGGCCTTTCACCTTTGGGGTTTGGTCGATGACCAGGATTAGACTTGTTTGAAATCGAAACAGGAGGACCAAACCTGGAAGCAAGAGTAGAGAGATCTCCAAAGGTCAATTTCAAACCTTTAAGGTGGTAAGCACGACCCGATAACATGCTTCTTCATGACAAACTTCAGAACAGGCTTCTTCTATATCTAGACATCCTCGTACTTCATCATGCTTGTTGTCCAACCCAGTCAAGAACTCGAAGCATCGTTCCATTTCAAGTCGTTGTCTTCGTTTGATATTGCAATCGATGATAAAGGTGTGGTTTCGAGATACATGTCGAGTTCTTGCTACAAGTCTTGTAGGTCCGAGAAATATTGGGTGACAGTGTTATTGCCCTGTTTAATTTCTTTGGGTTTCATGTGAATCTCAAAGATCTTAGAGGAATAACCGAGATCAAAGTACATACCAATGCTTGATGAAATTTCTGCTTTACACAAACTTGGCACTTGGGACTTAGTGCCACTTGAGAATAGCCAAAATATTGTTAACTGCAAATGGTTTTTTCGAATTAAATATAATCCTGATGGCAGTATTCAAAGATATCGTGACCGTCCTGTCGCAAAATGTTTCAACAACGTCCTAGGATTGACTATACAGACACCTTTAGTCCCGTTGTCAAACCCGCTACTATACGCACTTTACTTAGCCTTTCAGTGACCAACAAATGGAATCTACGCCAACTTGATATCAATAATGCATTTCCCAGTGGCACGCTTCATGAGAAATGTTCATGTCTCAACCTCCTGTTTTTGTTGATCCAAGCTTTCCCACTCATGTTTGCAAACTCCACAAGGCCATCTATGGGATTAAACAAGCCCCTTGGGCATGGTACAATGAATTAGCCAACTTTCTTTTCTCCTCAGGCTTCAAATGGTCCATTGCCGATGCATCACTATTCATTTATCCTCAGTCTAGCACTCCTATTTATCTTATTGTGTATGTGGATGACATTATTATCACCGGTCCAAATGCCACTAATCTTGTTGTTTTTGTTAAAAGTTTGGCTAACAGGTTCTCCCTAAAAAGATCTAGACACTTTCTCTTACTTCCTTGCCGTAGAAGTTACACCTACTCAACACAGCCTATTTCTTAGTCAAAGGAAGTATATAATGGACATCCTTGAACGCTTCCACATGCAACAAGCAAAACCTGACACCACATCCATGGATGTCACTCATTCTCTTACATTAACGAATGGTGAACTCTTGGATAATCCGACTAAATACAGGGCAGTTGTTGGTAGTCTTCAGTATCTCACCCTTACAAGGCCCGATGTTGCATATGCAGTTAACAAATTATCACAATACATGCATCAACCACGTCATCCTCATTTGGTAGCTCTTAAACGTCTTCTACGCTATCTTTGTGGCACCATCGATAAAGGGATCAACATTGTTCGTGATTCTCCGCCCATACTTCATGCCTTTACTGACACCAACTAGGTCAGGAACATAGATGACTATACTTCTACTATGGGTCATGTTGTTTACCTTGGTAAAAATCCTCTAACTTGGAGATCTAAGAAGCAAAAATATATAACTCTCTCATCCACGGAAGCGGAATACAAGGCAGTTGCTCAACCACTGCTGAAATCATGTGGGTCAGCAGTGGATCCAAACTCTCCTTAGTGAGTTTGGGCTTTCCGTTCAACACACTCCAGTTATTTATTGTGATAACCTTGGAGCCACATGTCTATGCGCGAATCCGCTTTTTCTACTAAAAAATGAAGCCTTAGCATTTGCATATTATTTCATCCGGAAACAAGTTCAGACGGTACATTACGAGTTACTCATGTCTCCACTGATCATCAAGTAGCGGATTTTTTGATGAAGCCATTATCCCGTCCTCACCTTGAATTCCTTGTGTCCAAGATGGGACTCACTCAACGACCGTCCATCTTGCAGGGACAGGTAAGAGATAAAGGCAGTATCTCAACCTTAACCGTCATCTCCTATTTATGTATATTATTTCAATTAGCATCAATTAGCTTAGCCCCCTCCCAATCAATATCTTGTATATTAGGACAATGTATACTCTCTTTCTCCTTACTTAGCATACATTCATTTATCTAGGACTATATATATTTGTATATCTCCTCAAGTCAATTTAAGTTTTTCACTATTTTCTAAGCCCTTTACAACTGGACAGTGGACGGTCAATAGCCAAATGTGGACACTTAATTTGCAAAGGGGGTATCTTATTTATGCCATACAGACCTGTGGAACTTTATGCCGTTTGCCAAAGGACGCCGTGCTGAACACCGTCCAACAATGAGGTCCCTCATTCTGAGAATTAAGTAGCTTTTGTGTGTTGTTTCCCATCCATGATATAGAGTCTATTCCTTTCACAAAAGCCCCTTCAAATGGAACTGCAACTGCTTTGGCCGGCAAAGGAAGAGGATCTTCAAATGCAGCAAGAAGAGCCCATATAGAAGTAAGTTCCAGTCTCTGTAAATATCCAAATAGCCATCAACATCCACCAAGAATAAAACAAAAAATAGATGATGGACATCTCTCAGATATGAAAAAAGGTTATGTGGAAAACTACAAAGTGAAATTCAAATAGACCTTCATTTGTCTTGCAACAAGTGGTAATCCAGATGAAGAAAGCAATCGATTTGCACATTTTCCTGATGTTAGAACAATATCATAAGAAATTTATGTCATAGATATATGGAAAAAAGAAAGAAACTATCTACATTCCAAATGGAGCACCTTAACCTTTGGCATAGTAGAAAAATCATCCATGAAAAAAATATAGTTGCTGTTATAGAGTAGACAAAAATGTAAACTAGAACCCATACGAAACAGGAAAGAAAAAACAAACTAAAGAAGACAGGGCCAGAATCCAAATTCAAATGACTTTATACTTTTCCCCAAGCTAAAAATGAATGTTTAGATTGCACTGTTGCAGTTTTTTGTTCATATCATATGCAACCAGGGATATAGTGAAGTAATTAACATGTTCAGTCGGATTTTTAATTTTGTACTCTCTAGGAAATACTTTTGGAGATTTTAACTATCATTATCATGGTAAGGCCAAGCCATCAATGGCTTCTTCAAGAGTGAAATGGAGAAAATCAAGCATCGATAAAAAAAATGGACAAGAACAAGAAAGATCTGCGGTCCAAAAACATCATGAACTATTTTAGACGAGTAGTCGAACATAGGAATCATATTAAAAGATTACGCTAAACTGAGACGGTGTTAAATCTCAATCAAAATAATTCATTACAATCTTATGATTCCACGTTTTTGGGATGGATGAATAACATCTAAAGTAGTGCAGGTGATATTCATAAGAACACAGATTTCCTTTAGTTTCCCGAAGCAATGACTGTAGTTTATTCACTATATAAACATCCATTCTTTGCATTATCGAGTTACTCATAACTGCCATTATACCAAGACCACCAGCATACATACATATAAACTCGAAAATCGTACATAAAGTCCCTGAATTTAAGGCTAACCTTCAAATTAGGCCTCTATATTTCCCTCAACATAAAAATTAATACATCTGTGTAAGTGTGTTCTCTCTCTCAGCGTCTGTTTAGATCAATCATTAAAACAGGTACGTGCGTCTTTCATGAAAAACACATTTGAAGCGTATTTGAGTCTCTTAGCAACTTTTGATGCCATATATTAACATACTCTAAACTAACATATGCCACTTTCCTTCATAAACCTGAAAGTTCATGAAACTTCCAATTCAAATAGAGATAGAAAGGGAAGGGATACGAATTAAATGGGAGACACCATAATAGTTCAAGTTGCCCACTAACAATGTAAGTCATAGCGTACAATCTATGTCCCACTTTTTAAACCTTTGAATTATACATTTGCTCTAAATTACGTCAGTGATTGCAAGTGTATATAAGGAAATGTAAAAGCACATATATCCTATAATGAAGTGATATCTATATATTAATTTATTCCCACCAAACATTTCAAATACATAAATAATCCACTCCGCAACTGAAAATTGGTGGTCCATACTTTATGAAGACTTGAAGGATCTAAAATAATCCATGGCCACAAAGAGAATCCTCTTCACACGATTCTCAATAAAGCTTGTGTGTCCTTTCTTGTTAACTAATAATTTATCTCCAAAGTGTTAACTATTGTTATTATAGTAAAAAAGCCTTAAGCTTAATTGTTTCTAAGGTGAAGGATGTTTTAAATTATTAAAATAACTCAATAACAGAATTTTCGTGGTTCTACTTGCCTAGTCTTTCAACCAGTTGACAACTGAACTGAATTCATGAAGGCAGAGACGACAAGAACCCCTAGTCGAGATAGTGAGACAAAAATAGGAGAGGAGAAGAGAGACCTCTTCTCTCTTTTGATTTAGATCACTGTGAGACTGGAAAGGGGCATGTGAAAACATCACGAGTCATGAGCACGATACGCAGTGAGTAAACCAATACAGATAAATTGGTCAAGAGTAAAGGGTAAACTAGTCATTTACTAAGTCATTAGAACCATATGATATGATATGATTTCCAATATCAAGAAACAAAAGCAGTATACATGATACTTTTCACCACTAATCAGAGAACTGTCCGTTCCAAGGAAAAAGAGAACAATCACAGGAGTCAAAGTGGTTGTGTCAGATTACCAAAGATGAACCCCAAGCTGATATTCTAGTGCAATATCAAATTACCAGTAGCTGATATTTGAACTTTCTGGAACAATGATGGATGATTCATACTCCTATGGTTGAGCTCAAGGTGGATACAACAATTAAAGAGCGAACAACCGATGGTAATAAAGCTACAACTACAGAACTAGAAAATGAATTCATTGAAGTCCATAAAGAACTAAAGCTGCATACTGACAAGTTGAATTTGAGACCAAGACTCGGGGGATGAAGAACAATAAAATTTCATCTAGAGTTAGCATCCAAGAGATAGCCAAGCCCAAAACAGTAGGTTTACTTTTTCCAAATGGCCCATTGGAATTTAAAATACCTTTGAAGTTCTTAGTTTTTTTTCAAATTACCTAGTGAATAATAGACTAATGGACATGCAACTAGTTCGAGGATGATTCATCGTTTCTCCCTTCTCATGCTACATCACTGGAAAACATGAGAAGGAGCTAGGAAGGTAATATGGCAGGAATACAAGACCATTAAAGAAAATTCTAGATATTTGTTAACCGCAAAATACGTATCGATTATCTAGAGAAGAACATGTATCTGATTATTCAATATGGGTTACTTGGGCATCTAGTATTTAGGTTGGTATATTTGATTTTATTAGGAATTTAGTTATTACCTGAATTGTAGTTTTTTATTTTGATTGTCTATAGTCATGTCATCCATCATCTCTTATCCACTTGAGTAGATTCGTGAGGGGAAAAAAGATCTCCAAAAGTAGATTTCATCAATGACAAAAGGAATAGACAAAATATTCATAAATAATCTGCATAAGGGCATGATAAAAAGGTATCATATATAAAAACTGTTTCCTGATAACATGTAACATAAATGTTACCATTATGTGCAATAACAATCGCATCAAACTGTCCACGATGTTTTCCATTCTCACTCAAGTGCCACATCCCATTGTATGCTTCAAGAGAGCTTATCCAGCAAGGCCGCACCACGTTAACCAAGGAACTCTGAAAGACAAGTAAATTTTCCAGCTAAGCCATGAAGAACATTACATGAGAATAACAAAGGGAAAAGAGATAATGACAAAACGAATACCATAGATATTCCAGTTTAAAGGTAGTTGTTGCATAATAGTAGTGAAAACCTATATTTTCGTCATTGTGGTTCAACTCAGTGGCGTAGCCAGTAGGGGGCTGGCTGGTGCTGAGCCACACCCCCCCCCCCCAAAAAAAAAAATCCCAAGCATTCCTTATATATATATATATATATATATATATATATGTATATGTATATATATGTAGAAACACACAACCAATATGTTGGGTTGTCTCTTATGAGTTATGTGACACAAGTTTGAATATTTGGAGGCACTTTTTGGTCATGTTTTTTTTTCTTTTTTATTGGACTGACAATCTTTTCTGTTTGAAAGTTTTAATAATTATGCTTTTATTATGAGAAATATTTTTCATTGTATTTACATTTACAAACGTTTTATTTAAATGTTAATACATCAAAAATCAAAATAAACTAATTCTATATTAATATCATTGTACAAAGTTCAAAATATACAATTTAAGATTTTTATGTCATTTTTTAGACCGTAGATTTTCATGATGTCATTTTTTGTCAAGGAGTTATCAAAATCTATTTTCCGCTCATGTATATGATACTATATTGATGTTATTTATGTTATAGTTATAAATCAGTGAAAATAATGGTTAGTTTGATGATGGAAATATATTTTGAGCTTCAAATAACACTATAGTATTAAAAAAAAGTATCCCTTTCTAACATTTCACAAACAAAAGCCACAATATTCATGGTTTTTTTTGTTTTTTTTTTTTGTTTTTTTTTTGTTTTTTTTTTTAATCTAGACACTCATTTCACCTCAAATTTCCTCTCAAAGTCTCACAACGTATGACAACAAACATTAATCTCTTGTCTCACATTAACATCTTGTTTGTATACCTCAAATTGACAAGTTAAATTCATTTCGTTTGTCCCCCCACAAAAAAAAGAGCTAGAATCCTCACTTTGCCCCTCGTGTTCAACTAATTTAACAAATTGATAACTATGGTTTAATTTTCAACATTTTGACTACCTTAAATGTTGTCATCACCATTATATTCTGGGGTCATTCAGGTATATGACCTTAAATGAGTTTTTAATTAAATCCATGACCTTCTGGTCCTGGCCTGCTGAAGAAAAAATGGCTTTACATTCATGAGAAGGTCATTGATTTAATTGAAATCTCATTACTTACTAAGTGATAACTTTCAAATTCGGTCAAATGATTAATAGAAATGTCGACTAGACTCCAACATAGAACACCGCATCACAAGGCAAAGCTTTTTTGACTTTCAATTTTTTTCTTGAAGTCGTTACCTCATACTTTTGGTCATTAGGATTTCCTAAATTAACAATTGATAAGCAACTTATGTTTGACCATTTTCTATATAAGCTATGGTAACTATAAGTTGATAAATGCTTACCGGATATAACCTATTGTTGAAAATTCAAATATATTCTAAGAAATAATTGGAATTATGTTCCCTACCATTAATGCAGATTTTATTTTCTAGGATAAAAATTGTATATCCTTGAAAATTAAGATAGAGAATGTAACCCCTGTAAATTAAGAAAGTAGATATTAGAGCATCCACAATGGAGGTTCTTGTTGAGGTTCCTGTTGGGGTTTTTATAAGAACCTCCACTGTGGGACAAAGATAAAAACCAAGGTTCTTGAACATGAACCAGATTCTTGTCTACATTCCATTTTTATTAATTTTTTATTTCTTAATCATTTTATCTTGTTGTAATAAATCTATAAAGCATACAAGTTAAAATTGATAAAAAAAATATAAATTAATTATTATAAGATATAGCTATTAATTTTGTTTGTTTTTTTATTTCTTGGAATTTTCTATACAAGTTTTTGAATTTGTTTTGATGAGTTTGACTTTTAAATATCTGGTTATATTATTATGTTTAGATTATTTTCTGAATACTTATATATAATTATAATTAATTTTAAATTGTAAATTAATAATAGTAAAATTTCTTTTTTATTTATAAAAAAATATCAAATTGTCTATATATATATATATAGATGACACCATATGACTCATTCCTGACACATCTCGCTCAAAAAAATGGAAAAAGAGCACTGAGCTTCAAGAAGACTCTCAAATGCACCCAAAGTCTCCATATCCTCGACATTCTCCAATACCAACGAATTTTCCAAGTTTTTCCTACATTCCACCATATCCTCATGTTTTTCTAAATGTTGCTCAATCTCCAGTTTTTAATCCCGTCCTTGATATTAACAAATTAAAATTAATATACAAAAGTGAAAACTAATAAATTATAAGGTTATATTTTATAAATAAAGTTATATTTTATATATAATAAATGGAAAGTGAGGTTTTTGAAAGAACCTCTACTGTGGAGTTTATTGAGGTTCTTATTTTGTCGATGCATCAATGATGTGGCAGGAAAAATATGGAAAGTGAGGTTATTGGAGGTTCCACCACTGTGGATGCTCTTATGTTTCCTAATTTCTGGTACAACAATGTATATATAAGATTCAGCCTTTCATAAAAATTCTCTTTAAGGCTAGTTACATTATGATATCAGAGCCTCCAGTGCCAAAACTTATTTTACTCCTAATGTAAGGGCCAAATCAAAAGTTCTTTGAAATATTTGAGATCAAAAAATACATATTTATCTAAGAAAAAGAATAGTCTGAAACCCATATCACCACCAACCTGTCCAGGGAACAATCACAACATGACCACCATTTCCCTACTTACCCACAAACATATGCATACATATTCATAAGTCTACTTAGTTACAAGTAATAACTTATTTAATGCTACCATACATCATAATGCTCAATCCCCTAGAGATGATGACAGTAAAGAAAGATTCATAGTGACAAAATAAGAAATGGCACAGTAGAAAAGCTATGTACCTGAGAAAGTAGTGAATCTGCAAGGGTCCGCATTCCATTGACAGCTATATATCTGGGAGGGGAAGACGGAAATGGAAAGAAATCACCACCAGCTTCAAGCTCTCCGATGACACCTAGTGACTGCCGAACATAACCTTTCCGGGACCATTCATCAACCAATTCAGAAAACAGAGGGTTACTTACTGTAAAGAATTGGGCTGCATGGTCAAACATCATAGACGGATCAATCGTTCTAGTGCCCATTCTTCCACCAAGTCCATGAATTCCCTAAAGTAACAGAACAATGAGTGAAAGGTATAAGAACTCCAACACTTCTATTATTTAAGCCTAATCACACTAGACTTATATTCACTTGGAAGTTACCAAAAGCCTGGAAGTAAGAAGTGTTAGAGATAAGAGTTATCCTTACTTTAGGAGTGGGATTTCATGGCAAGCGCATGAGAAACAGTGTAATATGAAGTGCTACGTTTGGTAGTGGAGATATAGAAATTAGCTTATTCAGTGAGCTGTTTGGGTGGGGGGAGGGGGGGCTTTATTCGTAAAAGCCAAGTTTTTTCCAAACCAGCCACTGCCAATTAAAAACCATGCTTCCTAATCTATACAGAAAAATTAATCCATGCAGACGGCTGTACCCATACAGGAATGGAAAACCTAACATCCCCTAAATGACGTCACATAAGATTTGGGGCATGAGCAGTCTAGGTGGTATCATGAAAGTATCCCTAAGCCGCTAAGGGAGCTTGGTTCTTCAAATTAAACCAATTGTCATCCTTAATTGACCATTTTCTTAAAACCATCTTGCAAATTCTTATGTCCAGACACAAAACTAAAAACCTATCATGCACAAAAGATTTCCATGAAACTAATCTAACCCCGCCACTTGATAAAACTAACATGCATAAGTAGTTTTCCCAGCGGCCAATCAAGTCTTATCGAACTCCTAGATAAGAAAGTAAACTATTCCCTCCATCCAAGCAGGTTCTTTTCAACTTCAAAATCCATGTACAGCTCTTAACGGATGGAATACTTTTGGCACCTTTTCTTGACCTTACAAATTAACAATTGCTACGCACACGAACTGCTTGATAAAATGTCTCGTCAAGTTGTAATTCCAGAACTCATAAAAAGAAGCAATACGAAGTCGCTTTCAGACTTTCACAAGTCTCACATACTGCTGTAGCATTAAATAAATACATAACATAGAAAATCGAAAGAATTTCACATACCGTATCGAAAACAGTGGACCGAATTCCTCTCTTCTCCAACTGCATAGCACACAGAAGACCAGACATTCCACCGCCGATGATGGCAACAACCGGGTCATCAGATATCGGAGCAGTGAAGGTCACCTGTTCTTGTTTGAAAGTTTTCCTCAAAACTGACTTCCTAGAGCTTCCGTAAGATGACTTCCTGCGAGTGGTTTTCTTGGGTACATCCATCGAGGACTTCTTTGCTGGGTCCATGGCTCCGAAAATTGGGTTGCACATTTTCGTGGTGGGTGCTGTGAGAAAAGTGAAAGTGGGATGTTTTGAGAATTTAGAAGGGAAATGGAGGATGAAAGAAGAAGAAAGGAGGTGATGGTGGTTGCAGGCGGTATGCATGGTAGTCGCCGGAGTTGATCGTTCTTGGTCGGAGATGAAACTGGGTATTTGAGTGGAGGATAAGAAAATGATCTTCCAGTGCCTGAAAACTTCGGTCAGGCTTTCGGTCAGCCAGGTTTTTCATTTATCTATATCTATATTCTATAATCTATAATATATTATATACAGTATCTTACGAATCATTTGACAAAAATTCTTAAAAATTATTTTTTATGTATAAAGTATTATATATTGATGCATATTATTTAAAATTCAAGATTACAAATAAATTATGCATAAATACAACTTATTAAAGCTTCATGTTTAAATTCATGTAACTAATTGCAGATAAACATAATCAAATAGAAGATAAATATCTCATTTTAAAATATAAAAATTTAAAATATAATTAAGATAATTATCGAATTTTAATAAAATAATTAACTATTAT